CTTGTTTAATTAATTTTGTTGATTAATCTCAAACTGATAAAATAGGAACTAGCTACTCTCTGCATCGTATGGATAGCTATAACGGTTGTCTACCTAACACATCATAAACGTACGATAAACTTGCCCCATCTTTTTATATCAACCATGTAATTTATGATTCGATAACAAATTGACGCAGTTTACTGAAATGTTCGATATGTCAGCATCGACTAACGACAGCTCGCGTTAAGTTACTTAATTTCGAGGCGCTCTCTTTTAATTTGCATTTGAGATAAAAAATAGAAAAACATCGGAGATAGAAAATACAAATTAAAATTAGACGCTTTAAAACTAAGCAACCTAATTCAACTGTAATCGTTAAATAGTATCCATCTAACGTAATATCGTTATTTTTAACTAAAGAGAAGATAATAAATCGTTGTCTATTATTTATCTAACGTTATAGTTATCTATGATTCCGTAATACCAATCGAGGATTAGCAGGCTCGTTAAAAGCTTAACGCTAACTGAACTAAAACTTTCTCCGTAATTAAATAATATTAACCGAGCCCCGAATATCAAAGAAACTGGCGTAGAAAGAGCGCAGCGTGTTTCGTACGGCGTTCAGAATTTTTTTTCAGTGTCGCGCAACGCGTATGCAGAAAATTCATTCATAGTCGGTAGAATGGCTCGGGATGAACGAGCGTCCTTCGATTCACGAGAAATTTCGGGTCAACGGGACGGAGCTGGGATAGCTGGCTGCACCGGGAACCGGAAATGAGGTCGAGAATGACGTCATCGCGTTCAGTGCCGTTCATTCAACCCCCGGGAATAAACTGGGTCACCGGGTCAACTTACCCCCTTCCCCCTCGATCGAGATCTCGTAGAAATGATACTCTAGCCGAGGAAACTCACGCGCATGGAACTCTTCACCAGGCATCGATTCACCGGATCCTTCACGAGCATCCGTTCACCAAGGAGATATACTCTCCGTTCATGGTGAATTTAACTGGTCAAAAATCGTCGACAGAAATCGTACAGGTATCTCGTTGATTTCCTTTGTCATCTTGTTGTTGGTTCGGATATGTTTTAGTAGAGGATTTTTTTTTTGTTTTTGTTAATAGAACGAGGCGAAGATGAATCTTCGGGTTTATTCCTGACGAATTGAAACCTTTGCGGTTGGCATATCTTTCTGGTGACATTTCCAGTCGAAGCAATAAATATTTACGGCGCGTATGCCGTAATGACGCTATCCAACTTGAACGCTTTTACTGCCATGCGAGTTTTCTATGTACCGTGCGGAAATATCCTAGAAAATATGGACTTTCCAAAACGTTTAGTAAAATTAACGCATTCTTCTTAATAACGAAGGTAGGTGCACTTAGTAAAACACGTGTACATATACCTGTTGGGTAGAAATATTTTCTATTACGAAAACTCATCTGTAGTCGAAATATTGGCTCAAGTTAGTTCTCGGGAAAACCGCGGAGTCGATATATCGATTCAGGGGTACCGAGAAGGCTGACAACAAATTTTAAAATGTCGTTGGGACGTCGAAATTCCGCTTTAAATTACTTCGAAGACAAATCTTAAATGCTACATCAATCGACTACAAAATCGTTAATCGTTAATTGATAGGAGAGGAAGAGTCGTCTCGTTTACTTTTCACCATGTGTTTTACTTTATTTATTTCGGAGTGTTCTGATAGAAATTTTTGTCGAGAGAGTAAGAAGACGTCTGGAGAGATTTATCTCCATCGAGTTTAATTGCGTGACGATGATTTTTCAGCTTTGTTTTTTTTCGTTAAGTTTAATCGAGCTAAGTTACACAGAAAGCTACGGACCCTCGACGAGCTGAAATTGAGCAGATTTTGTTTGAAGATTTTGATTTAAAAAGGGAAAGGAGCTTTATTTCCGTTGGGTATATTTCTTTTTATCGTTTACGATGTTCCTCGATGGCTTACTTAATAGCGAGTACTATAATTATTAATTATAACAATTACTTACGTAATAGCGAGTAGTATAATTAATATGTGCCATGGGAGGCTTTCGCAAGATAACTGTAAGCCTGAAATAGAACTAGGGTTTGGTAGTTTTCATAATTGTACAATATAAGAGTCGTCCTAGGGTTGGTGATTCTTTGCAAAATAAAGATCACAAGTTTATTGGATAATACAGACGTACTGTGTTTGGATGTGTACGAAATTTTGCTCGTTTTACAAAGATGTTTGCGAAAGATAGAATTTTTTAGTAGGATTGAAATAATGGACTAGTTTTTGAAATTTATTCTTGGCGAATTATTGGGTTGTAACATAAATTCGCCCTGTTTTATATTTGTTACGACACATTTTTCGCTATAATATTACGTCGAAGGTTTTCCTTTTTTATTTTCGGATTTTATGCCATATCGGTTGACACGGTTACTAATAACGAGTGAACGAGTGACGTCATATTATTTTGTCAATTATTTCTTCGTATTTAATAAATTTTAGTAGATGGGAAATTTTTTAAGAGCAGATACTCGTTTCTCCCGAAGTTACGAAACTCTTTTAACAGAACGTGAACGCGGCTGGAGTAAAAAGATCTTCTAAAAGGTACCGGGTGTTAAATAGGTTCCAGTTCGTTAAGAGTTGGCAATTTTTCATCGAGTTTCGGAATACACAGACGTGAATAACGTGAACGTGTAACCTTAATAAATTTCCGTCTATTTATTATATTCGTCTTGCAAACTTCCTTATTAACTTACTATAATTAACTTATTCCCACCGACTGAAACATATTCCTGTTTAATTAAGCATTAACGGAGCACCGTACACGTTTAATTACACCGCTTTTAATTATAATCTCGAAAGAGTTCTCCAACCTCTCTATCAACGAACGAAATCATCTGAAAACTCGTATATTTATTCCAGTTTGTTTTCTCCAAAAAGCCGACTTACTTTTATTAATCTCCTCTGATAAGCAAAGCCACAGTAATAAGCCTACTTATCAGCTTATTTTAATGTTCACTGTGGCACTGGCGATTCTTTCCCTGTTTTAAACGTAGATAGGAAAAATATCTGGAATTTATTATTCCATCGTAGATTTTAAAGTATGCCTCTGTGATAAGACGAAGTAGGATTAGAAATCATAGTAATGAAATGATCTGATTTTGTGGATTTCAATTTAGTCGCATATTTCAAATCTTGAAAACATCGTTATCTTAGTTTCATGATCAATGAAATGATTTAGCGAAATATAATGAACTTCGCACAACGATGAAAGGTGGAACGTAGGACGAAAGCAGAACGCTATTTTATGAAACGCAGCAATGAACTGATTTACAGTTGTTTGTTACTAATTACACTGTAACTTATTAATTGCACTATAATTTTCAACCGATCTGAAACACAGTTTATGATGATTTTTTTATTCGAGTGTCCAAAACTGTAGACTATTAGGGTAAAAATAATATTTTTGCCATCTTGTTGAGAAAGTCGTTGGAAATGTAATTTAGAAACGCAGAAAAAGTATGTAGCGCAGTCGGAGCTGTCGTATAATCGTCTGGAAGGATCTCACTTTCAAAATTTGAACCTTCCTCAACAGATTTCCATTGTAATGCGATGGCTTTTGTCCATGGGGATCGCTTCACAACCAAAGATTTACAACTGTCATGCTGTAAAATAAACGAAATCTTCCTTTCACTGTCGTAACCAGAACATGTGACAAAAATTCGTAAATAGTTTGACACTCTTTTGCGACGTTTCTTTCTTCCATTTAAATATCTTGAATTTAAACATTTAAGGATTAAAAAACTGAAATTTTTCAACTCGTAATAATTCAAATGATTCGATCTAACGGGTTTAACGCATTAATCAACGTTTTACAATTTACCGCGTCTTATGAAAGGAATTCTCTAGAAGGACATAACGAATGATAAATGGAATTTGCAATAGATCTCGAACACCGATACGCGTAATCGAGATTAATGAGATGTGTCGTTGAGATTTATTGTGTAATTGCAATCGAACAGATATAAATATCCGGTCGTAATAATAACCGTGATAAAACAGCAATAAGTAAAATTCACATGCAGTGAAATCACCGAGTACGAGCGATCTAAAACGAAGCTTAAGAAAGTATGCATACCTTAGAAGTTTCACAAAATTAAAAATGAAACGGCGAGTATAATAATAAATCTTGGAAGCTCTATAAAAGTTCTCAACTTTCACACTAAATTTTCACGATAAATACTGCTCGCTATGACATCGCAATATTGAAAATCTTTAAGTATTGCTCGTCTTAATAATAATATCTCTGGCTTCCACAAAACTTAGTCAACTTATCAGCTACTTTTGAAACTCTTTTATCTTCAAACAAAACAGATTATCTTCGTTCTTAATTATATGTTATAATTCTCTCGTTTAATCATAAAACTACATCAAAATCAAAAAGTCAACAAATATACTTATCGTATCTTTATCTTGTATCTCCCATATCTCGGTGTATCAGATACACAAGCTGGAAGAGAAAAATTTTGCTACATCTTCGTGTCACAGGTTTGCAACTTGTTAGCTGGAAACCTACGTTCGAGTCAGGCTGAGTCGTTTCGAGGCTTTGTTTGTTAATGAAGCCGATTGTTCGATGAAATTTACACCATGAATCGCGAGGGTACCTGCTGAACCATTCATTCTACCAAATGGTTCAGGTGTCGACCGCAGGTACACGAGCGGAGTCCACAAATCACCAGCATACAAAATCGAACACAAGGATTCCTCTCCTGGGACAGGCGCTCTACAGGGTATTGTCGATCTTAAGAATGGAAACTTTTCGAGGACACGTGGAGTTGTCCTCGAAAAATTTACGAGCCCTAGCCAAGAGATTCACAAATTTCACGGAGCGATTGATACGCGTGACGAATATCCCGTGGCTTTTCGACTGTTCGTAATTTTATTCACAGTCCTACCTCGACTCGAAGCTTCGTTGAACTTTTTCCTTTGCATGAATAATCGTGAACGAAAGACGACACGAGCGGCACAAAAGAATACTGCAAACTACCTGGACATTTTTAAGAATATGCCAATGCTAAAACGATTAGGAATACGTTAGAATCCATAGCGTAGTTTCGATACTTTTATACAAATGAACGGAAAGTTGGTACGTTGAAAATTGTTAGCGTTACAATTGATTTTTTCAACCGATTTGATTTTTCTAGTATTTGGTCGGTTTCTTTCGATCCAATTCAAAAAGGTGAATTTTTATCGGAATTGGAGTTTGAAGTAAATCGTTCTTTGATCCAAATTGAAATGCGACAAGAATTTATGAAATAAAAAATGGATAATTAAATCGATATAAAATACGGCATTCCAATTTTTTGATCGTTATTTTGCTAATCGATAAAATTAAGATGAGAGAAATGGATCAGTGAAATAGTTAGTATCCTTGGAAATGTGAACCATACTGATTTTAAATATTCCGTAGCATTCTGTTGTGGAAATAAGATGAAGGATGTGTTTCGCCATGCGAGAAAATTGGAGCACTAGTGAAACACGTCATGGTTTAGATGTAAACACCGTTTTACCAGATGCTGGAAATAGTGTCTGTATACTTATCAAGATTTATCGTTTCTTTCATGAATATTACCTCGATCCTTTAATAGGAAAACTTTCCGTGTTACGCGAAACGTTCTGAAGTTTCACTGCTATTGTAACGAGACGCGACTATCGCGATTATATCGATAAAATTTGAAATCTGCATAATCTGGCAATCTATATAAAAATTACAAGATATTTCCGACAAACATATATTTATTAAAAAAACAACTATACTAAAAATAACTATAACCATCTTAAATATGTAACGAGTGTTAAAAATGATTCCAAATAATAAATAATCATAAGTAACAATATCTAGATAATTCACTATTTCAATACTTTTGTGATCACTATGAAATATATACTCGCATTAAATATCACGTAACTTCTATACGTACAAGTTTGTCAATGAAATTTCAAAATGTTTTCTGTAACACGCGTAATATATTCATAAAAGATTTGTACAGATGTTGGAATACTTTTCGTGAGCTATCGTACTATCTCTGTATTAATTTTCAAATTTGCCGACATAACGACGATCCCGGTCTCGTTACAGCGGCAAAGAAATTCCAAAATGTCTCGTACAATGCACGTAATATATTCATAAAGGATTTTTACAAGGGTTTAAACACTTTCAACGGCTATTGTATACCGAAGAAAATCATAATACCAGTTGATAAACACGTTACGCGAATCAATCTCTCATGAATATCATTTTATTCATAAATAAAACAACCGAACCGGACTACCAAACGATATCTGTTTCACCTTGGACACGTCCTTTTAATTCCATTTTCAATCGACTTATGCATGCGTCGCCGAACATTTTAAATCTGATTCCTTAATTTTCCATTCGGTGTGATCGTCTCGACGACTGCCGCGTTACATACTTACACATGCGACAGCATTTGGCGATTAAATATCGGCGCACGGCACCAACATATAAACATAAATATGTCGCAAGACGTATATATAAATGTTGGATAGAGATATCGTGACGCTTTATAGTACGATACGCGACAGCACGAGTGAGATCATGGAATTCCTTAGTTTCGACGTGAAGAACCGAACCCTTGCGTTGCGAAGGGCGGAAATACCGACGCCAGGGCCGAACGAAGTTCGAATCAGGGTCGCTTATTCCGGGATTTGCGGCACCGACCTTCATATATTGGAAGTACGTCGTCATCATTATGCTTTCTCTATCTCTCCATTGTCACAAGTCTGAAAACGCTTATGCAAATTTTATGTTATTCATTCATTTATTATTTTTTACTACGTAGCGTTTCCTTCGCGAGTTTCGACAAACTTTCTGCTTTTACGACATATCACAGCTGAACTATCGTTCACCTGAACGAAACTTTATCGTTATTCTTATTTATTTAATTTAAAGTCGCATCGACTACAACTACGATCATTGGCGACTATTTTTATAAACGCTGATTTACCAAATTCTGTTCAATATCTTAATTTCTTTACAGAGGTTGATAATTTTTCCGTTGGAACGAGATCACCGGGGAGGATATCGTTAAGATTATCGTCGACATTATGTTTCTCTCCTTCAATTGTTCTATATAGAACGCTCTGTGATTACATGGGTGATCGATAGCCTGACACTGCGGATGTCACATTTACTGTTTTCCAGTATGTACATACGTGTCAGTTGAGTATGCCCCGATCCTATCTTGGTTATCGCGGTTCGTTCTTTACGGTTCAACTCTTGGCTTGTCTACAAATCATTAAAGTTAGAGATTAATTTATGCAGCGAGTTTATGTTACCGTAATTTTATATGATACGTTGCGATTCTCTCTGTAAATGCTTCGATACGTTTTACGATGTCCGATGGTGCTTCTGTGGAAACAAAGTTTCACTTACCACTGCTTCGTTATTACGATTAACTTCTTCTGGCTCGATTTGTTCATCTGAACGCGAGCTTCTGTTATGCGAACAAAACGTAATTGCAGGAACGATTGGCGAGCTTCTATTTTATGAACTGCAATTATATAAACTGTTTGTCTGCCGACGAGCACAGATAAATCGAGTTCTATTGTACTTACTTTAAACTCTTTGATTCTCGCTTAAAATCTGCATCTCTCGCAAACGACGATATGTAAAGTGTAAATGTTTAACAACCTCTTTATACAAGTTTATATCGTTATATACGAAGTCTTATATAAGTCTCAGTTAAGGTCTTATTTACTGCTTCATTTCGTGCATTCTGTGCGTTCCTGCATCTTCAAATTTCCCCTAAGCGCATAAAAATCAGCAGTCTAATTACGTATCACGTTTCGTTGTACGACCTCACGTGTACACGGGCTTATTGGAAAAGTCATCTATTATATAAGGACCTATTTGATACAGTATACGGAAAAATGATTTATTATGTAAGGACATATTACGTCGGAGCACGTGAAATGTCATTTTTTGTCGAGCAGAGTGTCGACTGTATTATTCTATCAGGATTCTGATTAATTCATCTTTCAATCGAGTTGCATTTAATGCATTAAAATTTCTTTCATCGGAATACCTTTGTTTTATTTAACGCTAGAACCACCAGTTCAGTTGAAACGATCGCTATCAGATGTTTTATGTTTGCAATTACCACGAAATGCAAGTGTTCTTGTCGATATTAACAATTTACTTTTATCGAAGCAGAAACGTGATTGCAAATACTTGTTTCTTTCTATCGTATTGCTTTAATTCTATTTGACCGGGTATAACGTATTTAAACACACAGACGATCCACTTTTAAGAAAAAGCGAATAAGAAATTGCTTTCGCAGACGCTAATCGGATATGGACGCGAGATATACTGTCGTTACATGACAATAGTAATCTGTTTCTTCGCATATTTGATAAAAGAACGTTCTTTTTTTTCGTTTTCTTCTTTTTCTTTACTTCGTAAAGCAGACTTCGCTACGAGTCTCGTGCGCGGTTGCATTCCATGGTCGTGCCACGAGAATGTCGCATAATTTCTTAACACGTACAAGTATTTCAAGAGATAGAGGCTATGGCCGAGTGATATAACGCTCGCTTTTGACAAATATTCGCCAAACACGATAGCAACTGTACACTATGCACTTTATCGATCACACGCGTTGCCGTGCATTTAATCTCATTATACTGATTGGAATATTACCACGAGCATGGCAATAATTCTCGTTCTTTTTCAGGCGATCTCTCGTGATATGTCAATTTACAGTACAAAACGGTTAACAGAGAAAGTAGCCTAAAGAAATTTCCTGCGTTTATTTCTTTAAATTCTAATAAAATGCAAATAAAAAATTTGTACTTTTATAAGCAGTATTATCGTTGATATTTCCTTTTTGTTGGAAGCTCTGTAAAAAGCATAATAACTTTAATATCGATATATGCTGCCATAATTATTTCCATAATTTAAACAATTCTATCTTCGAGGAATAAAGAAAAGAAAAGGGGAAAATATGTTTAAACTGTTTCCATTATCAAGTGGCTGTAATTAAGCAACCGATGAACATATTTTGATATTTGATTCATCAACCATATATCCACGTTCTCTTGCTCTAAACAGTCAACTGCTATAACTTTATAATCTTATAATATTTTTGCATTAATTTTAAGGTGTAATAATAAAATAAAAATTCTATCGTTCAGGGATCATTTCCGTGCAAGAAGGAAGGCTTCCTGACTCTTGGCCATGAATTCTCGGGGACTGTCGACGCGGTTGGTTCCTTGGTAAAAAGCTTTAAAGTCGGCCAGAAGGTGGCTGTCGACCCTAACAGGGGTTGTAATACTTGCAACCATTGTCACGATGGCTCTTATCAGCACTGTCAAACTGGTGGCATAAACAGCACGATAGGAATCTTCAAAGACGGAGGATTCTCCACGCACGCTATCGTACCAGAAACCCAGGTCCGTTTACGTTTTCATTAAGCCCTCTACGGGTTTAAACAAATCCTTTGGAAAATCGTTAGACCATATTGCATATAAAAAATAATGAAACTTTGTCCTCTATTTTTCTCGCATGACTTCCACCTATGAGAGAAACGAAGGCTACTAATAAAATTGGGATTTTCCTAGCTTTTTTTAGCTTTGCTATACTTGGTCGTTTTAACGTACGACGTTTTACAATTTCACACGGCGAAAGAAACGAAAAATCGTACGAGAAGAAGCTCGTGAAATTCTAGATGGCAAAAAGATGTCTGATTATAGTTAAATCTTTTTTAACTTTCGTTATGAATTTTCTGAACAACCCAATAAATATACAGGGTGGTTGGCAACTAGTGATACAAGCGGCAAGGGGGTGATTCTACGTTAAAAAAGAAGTCGAAAATATAGAATAAAAATTTTTTTTTCAATTTTTCCATCGAGACAACGATCTACAGTGAGATCCGTTATAACGAGACGTGATAAAGTGCACGCGTACCGAGCGAAAATTCAAAGTCGATTTTCTCGAAAACAAAGCCTCAAACGAAAAATTTGTATTCTATATTTTCGACTTCTTTTTTCGCGTAGAATCAGCCCCTTTCCGCTTGTTACCAACCACCCTGTATAAATGTATAGAAAGAAGCGTAAAAGGAATTATAAAGTTGCACGAATTTCGAATTATTGTTATTCCTTATCGTTGTTGTTCATTTTTTAACTTTTTTCAGGTTCACGTAATACCCGATAGCATCGACTTGCAGCAAGCTGCCCTTCTCGAACCTCTCTCGTGTTTGGCCCATGGATGGAAGAGACTTAACGGCGTTAGCGTTGGTAGTAACGTGCTCGTAATTGGCGCCGGAATCATTGGCCTTTTGTGGGCCTGCATGTTGCACTTACACGGTCTTAGGAAATCCGTGACGGTCAGCGAGCCTCAAGAGAAACGGCGGAAAATGCTGAACAAGCTCGGTAACAGCAACATAATTTCTTAGTTTCTAGTTACAAAATTATCTTCAATCTTAATCAATAGATAAATAGCACCATCGATTGGTCATTGATTTCAAATTTCATTGATATAATAGATTAATTTATACCGACGTTAACTAATGTATTACTAACGTTATAATAACTTAATGATTTTACCAATATAACAGTCAAATTTCGTTAGAATGAAATTCCAAAATGTTTTTATGACATACGCACAGTTTTACATATATATATAGAAATAGTTTCGTGAGATTTTGAATAACTAAATGCGTAACAAAAATTATGCTGTAAGAGACGGTTTGATTTTATTATTTATATTTATATTTGCCAGATCTTGATTTCGAAGCAAAGAGCCCGGAACAATTAAAGGAAACATACGACGTGGTGGTGGACTGTAGCGGTTCGGCTGCAGCTGTGCAAGCAGCGATTCCATTATTAGGATCAGGTGGCCGCTTATGCATATTCGGAGTCGCTAATCCCAACGCGAAATTCAGTATCGAGCCATACCAGGTAAGTTAATCACAACCGTGTATCATTGTGCTTCCATGCTCCTGACTCATTATTTTTCCACTAATTGTTTATTCATACAACGTCACGAACAGGTAAGAAGAAGTAATTAATTTTAATTTACTTCTCAACAGATCTACCTAAAGGAGCTGACAGTTTTAGGTGTAAACATAAACCCTTTCTCGTTCCCTAAAGGGTTGGGCTTGTTGCGTGCAATGGCCGATAGATATCTTAATTACGATAATTTAGGTATTAAAGTATTCTCGTTGTCGCAATATCGCGAAGCTTTAGACAGTTTGAAGAAAGGCGAGATCAGTAAAGCAGTGTTCAAATTGTAAGCTTGAAAAATAATTGAAAAGTTCGTATGATTATGAAATCAATAAAATGAAGTCCTATTTTTTAACAGTGTTTAAACGCGTTTCATTATTCTTTGTCCTGGAATATAAATATGAAAGGATAAGTATTGATATAAAGGAACATGATTTCCACGCAATTCTCGTTTATTAAAATTCATATTAGTCTAGAAGTAAATATAAAATTGCAAACTCGTAAAAAGGTCATAAAAAATCTTACTTATTTTGAGATTCTAAGTAGCTCTGTGATATGTGGAGAGTAAAAGGTAAAATAAGGAATATCTGTTTATAGAGATTCTCTTAGATGCCTAATTAGCTAAATTCATTAAATCTTGTTTCTTTAGTGATAGACTGAAATAATCAAAATTGATTTTCTCAATGAAACTGTTTTGCGACATTCTTTATTATTTCCCCTTACTCTTCGTGTCACGCCCCCGGATGTGTGAATTGCCAATAATTCGCCCCGACATCGATAAAAATCCTCGTTTCTTGCAAACGCAAATGCTTCTGCCAATCTTCGCTTCTTCGTATATAAATTTCGTCAAATATTCTCTCGTCCCATACATTTATACAGAGCAAAAGTGCGCTATGTACTATAACTTTAATAACGAGGATCTAACTGCGGTTCAAAGTAGAAAAACCTCGTAAATTTTTCGAGCCTTAACGGTTGGCGGAAGCGGAAGCGAGGAAGACCAACACCAACGTTTTCGGGGCGACCGCAGTTTCGAGGGACGTTATAAATACTTTAAGTTAGTCCAAAAAAGACGAGAAACGATCCCTGTTATGAGTATGCAGTCTTTATGAGTTTGTTAACACAATAAGAAATATCTTAGTAGCGATCATTATAAATAATTTCATCTACAATATACAATCGTTGAACTAGATCTAGAACAAATTTTTACATGCTTTGTATCACGATTAAGGTATTAACATTATAATAATTCTTTTTCTATTGCCAAACATTGTGTAACAAGGCAGCTATAGAGTATTGTTATTGTTCGAGTTCTTCTAAATAGCGCGTTAACAAGAGTTCAACACACTCGAGACTAAGAACCTGAGACTAAGAACCAGTCAGTTAACGTCGTGTTAGAACAGCATACGTTAAAGAATGTGTTTAATTTTAAGATCGAATGAAGGATGAATAATCCACAACCACAGCTATTAACATGTCAGAGTGAAAGAAAGTGAATCAAAGAAGTGAAGATTTTATAGTGTGAACAAAATTGATTGCATATATATCTGGCAGGCAAAAGAGTATAGGTCAAATTTTTGCCAACATAATGCTAATATTTTCTACATTGCTGTCTTTTGCTTAGGATTCTAACAGTACAAGTCAGTTTGACTCCCTTTCCGCTCTTTTATCTGAAATTTTAATATACAAAATTTAAGATCTGATTTTATATGACACATTAAATATTATAAGCGAAGTTGAGAAGCTGCAAAACTAATAATTCTAACTTATGCTCCTTTGCTCGCCCACCAGGGATACTATAGACATAAAACAGTATCTGAAGTGTTACTGGGAAGCATAAAGAATAAGATAGAGTAAAAAAGTGCAGATGATGTCATGTTAATGAATCATGCAATATACTAGTATACAGACTATGAGGATGAACCAGATTTATGTTTAGACGGTTCTCTTAAGGAATACTGAAAAAATTTATTATATGTAGTACTTACAGATAATTTTCTTATATTATATATGTGCTTTAGCAAAGTTATTCTGTTGTAGATTCTTCATACTTTCACAAACATAAAACAGGAATAACAATATTTATGTTCATGATTTCATAATTATCTCCACATTAATTGTGCTCATTTTTTTGGAGTATTAACCCTTTGTACTGGAAGTACTTCTCCCAGGCACAGATAATATTTGGCGTCGTTATTTAATCGACAAAAAACTCGGGTGTAGAGGGTTAACAACTATTATTCTACGCTTACAACTTACGTGGTGACTCATCACCTATCTAGTATGAAAAAGATTTCAATAACTATCGACTCACTATTTGGGCTGTAACGCTTTTTAGACGAAAATAATTTTAAAATCTGTTTATCTTGTTCTTACGCTATTTAATTTCTTATTATAGCTGTAAAAATGTTAGCTGCCGCTAAGGACGGTCTTGTCAAAATATATCAGTCTCGAATGTGTCAAATTGTATGAATTGTACGAATTGAACTCCTACAAACTATGTTAAAAGCTGATATATGTTCGTAACATTATTATCAATCACTTTTTCACTTTTTCACGAATATATCAGTTGTGCTGATATATGAAAAAAGGCTATATATATATTTATATATATAAATCTCAAACTATTAGTAATATCATTAATTTTTTCGCTATGTATCACTATGTATCTTTCTAGAATGCTGTTTGTACCTTGCCAACATCTACTATATTGTTGGCCCCTAAAATTTTTAGTCTCTAATAATTATTCAATTTCATTATTCATAACTACAAAAATAATCATCTAATAGGAGTTAAAAACAAATTAGGCCCCTAAAGTTGTTGTATAAGTAATGTTTCTAATATCTATTCACAATGGTGAACCATAGTGCTATTAGCAACCATTTCGATAAGTTGCATTGACTTCCTGCCGCCCACTGAAGTCCGGGATAATTAATATTTGGCGTAGAAATTTCTGCAAATTTATAAAATTTGTTCATACATGAAATAGGGTAGATTTATATTACATTGGAATTGTGAATGCTAATGTGCAAAAGCGAGAACAAGTTGTCTCCAAAAATTAACATACCTCATAACAACTGTAATAAATAAAACTAAGACTACCAAAGGCCCTGAAGAAACTGGTACTACTCCAGCCCCATAATAAAGGGCTTGACCACAAGCTGGCGGACACACAGGGACAGTAGTTTCTGCGCAAAAAACAAGGAAACATCTAGAGCATGCTAACTACTAAACTTAACAAATGAATACACTGTAAATTAAAAAAAAAACATAAGAGGATGAAATAAACTATACACAAAATTATAGAAGAATAACAAATAGATGTTATCAAATTATAGTATCATGCACAATCTATAAATGCATACATGTTTATCAATTCTACAATTTGATGTAACTATAATTACAGCTAGAAAAATGGAAGCAACATTTCATGAATGATTTATATTATTAAAATCGTACATATATATATACGTATTTCAGAATACATACCAAATAATTCAACGCTTGTTTCTGCAGTTCCTAATTTATTAGCAGCTCTGCACACATACTCTCCATATTGTCTTTTTTCAATTGTGATCACTCTAATCGTTGTATCAGTATATTGATCCGCGGTTGCAAAATGTGATATACTATAATGCTGATTATTAGACAATTGAACATCATCTTTTAACCAAACGATAGCTGGTGGAGGATACGCTTCTACATGGCATTCTAGATCCATGTCATATTGTAAGGCTTGACCAAGTCGTGGTCTTGGAGCTGTGATGACAGGAGCAAATTCAACTTCAACATTAATATTACGTCTAGCCCCACGACCTACTCCATTTTCAGCTACACAATAATATGTCCCACGATCTTCCTTACGAATTGTAGAAATTTTCAATGTGTTGCCACTGTAATATTTCAACTTGTCAGAACAGAATTCATATAAATGTCTAAAGAATAAGAGATAACAAACCTACCGATAAATTGATCCACCAGTTGGTAAGATGGCATTATTTTCTCTACGCCATGAGATTCTAGGTGTAGGAAAACCACCAGCATAACAGTCAAGCTGCACAGGTTGCCCTTCAGTGACAACTAGAGCTCTGGTTGAATTATCACTAATAATAGGTGGTCTACGAACTTGCAATTCAACATTTGCAGATACATAATTATTCAAAGATATCAAAATTTTACATTGATAAAATCCAGCATCAGTCTCTTGAATATCTTTTATCTGAAGTATGGATTATATTAATATTTAAATTACGCTATTAAACAATAAAAGCACAATATGTATTAAACATAATACCTGTAATCTAAAGGTAGATAGGGCATCGTCATATTTGAGGGTAAATCTAGTATCTCTTATAATTAAAGTACTACCATGCGAAAGTGGTAATTGGTCATTAGCAACGTTTTTATTAATTTTTGTCCATACAACTGGAAAGTCAGGTGCATATAAAACTGAGCAACGGAACTCTACAGTTTCACCAATATCTTTAATTTGCTCTTGGGAAATATAAGATATTGTCGGTGTACGTTGACTTTTAACTGAAAAATGTGATAGTAACGTTTCTAGTTAAAGATGTTAATTTAATTAAATATAGTAACGTTATAATATTCTATATCCTAATATCAAAATACATAGAGATGCACACATAGAGATGTAACATGCTATACATTCCGTGATTCTGTATAAATATCAAATTAAACTAATTGCGTGTAAGGGTGTTTTGTAAACATTGAATTTTGCATAAGGGTCGACGTAAATCGCTTCATTAAGTAGATAAGAACAGATTTGTAGAAGCAAAACATTTATATTAAAAAACAGTACGTACAAAATGGCACTGCAAATAAATCTCTTTGTTCTTTACCTGCATATAAAAAGGCGAACGCCAAAAATGTATAAAAAGTCTTCATTATGACACACCCCTGTTGTAATGTTCCAGTAAAGCTGGAATAATAATAATCTTCACCTTTCTTCACCAATATTATTTCCACCTACTAACCTATGTTAGTAACATTTATAACATTAGATATCGTCGTTGGCGCTGTCACACACCAGAAGTGTATAATAATGGAACGTAGTAATACTCACAGTACAGGTGTCTGTTGACCGAAAATAAATATGGCGAATGACGCTATATCTCTAATCAAACGAAATACCGTAACCGAAAGATTTAGAACGTATAATATAAATTAATGATATCAATTATTACATATTTATAACAGTTGTTTAAAAATTTTATTTTATTCTTACCTTATTTTTGATATACAATCTTCTATCGCAAATAGTAACAATTTTAATTAAGTTAATAGTTGTACACATGATTTATTATGTTGATTCAAAAATTTCTAATGCAGTCATATTACAGTATGTATAAAACGATAAATCCCAGTAAATTTATTCTTTTATATTTTTTACAAAAAAAAAATGTTTTATTAAAATATTTTATCAAAAATTTCTTGTTAAAAAGATCAAGAAGAAGATTTCAGAATAAGGCTTTTGTTTTTCTTCTTATTAAACGTAGTAATGGAAAGTTTCCTCAAGAAAATGCATAAGAATAGTGATATATACATAGGTTCAACGTCAGTAAGTTTTGAATAAGGATTAACATAATTGTTCTTATATTTTTTAAATACGTTTAAGAGTCTCGTTTGAAAGAATAATATTATTAGTTTGCTACTATTGCACTCCTCTTCCTTATTTTTCTTTATAGCGAACTTTCCTTCCCTACTTTTCCTTGTTATAAGGGTGAATCGAAATACCAGACAAAATTACGTAAGTAGATATTAACAATTATACTAAAATGTCAAAGTATTATACAGTTAACAGACCTTTTTCTATTGATTATCTTTTACTAAGGTTTCGCTTAGGTACGAAGGTTACGTTATTTAAGTTATGGACAATGTCAAGAATCTAGTTCTGTACTATTTCAGGAAAAGCGAACACTATTAAACCATGTAACCAGTTCAAGACAAATTTTTGCCATAACGATATCTTACTAATATTTTAAATAGAAATCAGATTACACCGAGAATAAAAGTATGTATATCTTTCAATTGTATCATTATGCTTTTCTAGTGTAAATTATTTTTTCATAAAACATTTCTAATACAAAAATAGATATGGTACGTTAAAAAGTCGAGACAGTAAAACCTTTTATTACGTATAACGGTTAAAGAGGAGCGTAACACGTTCATTATTCTTAAGTGACGATGTTGCGTGCAAACTTATATCCATCCCTCTGTTGGTATTTCAACTTCATGAAAGAACCTCTCTATAATATGCATGCTATACAGACATGATACGTAACATATGTTGTGTTCATTCGGTAACCATAGCGATTCGAAAACCTCATTGTCTCGTGTACCTACATGAGGGTTAAAATCCTTGATAGATTTTTACGTGTATGAAACATATACCATTCCATATAGTAAATACAAGTAATGCACATGTCGTGCAATGTACAGGATATATACCGAGTATAATGTGTTTGTACGCGTGTGAATATTTACAAAAGTACTCGTAAGTATTAATACAAAAACAAAACAAAAAATAGTCACGAGCAAAGAAATATTTAAAGAAGAGACATGATTTTAAAAAATCGTAACTATTGTAATTGTTCTAGGTGCCAAGAACCGTGATACTTCGACATGATGACAAATCTTTGAAAGAAACGTTCGTAGTCATCTGTTACGCTTGCGAGTAAAATGATATATACGCTAAGTAGATTGTAGTAATGTACGTAGATATATACATGTAGTTCAAATGTAAAAGAATATCAAAACACGAACCAAGCTCGCAATTACACGTGTGTTCTATTCGTGCAAAGGCATGTGTATAGCTATCATTCGTAAATAACACACGCATGGTCATGTGTGCAATATATAAGCACTATCATCCTACCACGAGGAAGTCAGTATGTGTCACAGTATTGCGGTGGAAGTTACCGGCGCGGTCACCTGACAAGCATGAGCGCAGTGTCTGACAGTTGAGGGTATCTTATCAAAATTTGAAGGAAGTGTACACTATACAGTTAGACACATCAAAAGTTAACAATTCAAAGAAATAGCATTGACCGCAATTACTGTCTGGTGGTTGTGGCCAACATGTTTTGATGTTCTTTAATGTTATCAGTTACGAAAAAATAATTTATCCACATGAAAGTGCTTCTTCTTTTTTAAACAACTACTCAAAGTGAAGGAAGATCGAAGAATTGACGAAGAAAAATTTCTAAACTATTTCGGAGGTTCAAGCACCATTGTTTGTCTTCCGAACGAAATACGATCATACTAATTATGTATTCAGATATATGATCCATGTCTTGTCAATATACACTCCATTTTCTGACAACTTTCTGAATATATTTCCACGATACTTGTTAAAAATTGCCATTGTGAAATTGGGTCGTCTTGTTCAATAATGCACTGATGTACAGTTCGCAAGTGTACAGAATATCAATAATGACATTTGAAATTACAAGTCAAAAGAAAAGGAATCATAGGCCACGATGAAATCACGTAAATAATAATTGGCAATTAAATATAAGAACAAAATGGAAGTTTAAAAGAAAACAGAAAGAGGAGGTCACGAGTACGAAGTAAAATGTTCTGACTAAAAGCATACAGCAAAGTATCCACATGCATTTTGAAGCATCAATTACAAAGGTCGCGATTGATTGTCCAAAGACATCCCGTTTCGTGCCGTAAATTTATAGATCCGTCTTAAATCTGATAGGAAAGACTGTTAGCATATTCGTTGATGGGCCAAGGGCATTCGAACCTCTTCAGATTGGGAAAGGTGATAACTATAGACTATCCAGCTGTCATTCCATTCATAATTGAGAAAGAAAATCAAAGTAAGGCTAAATCACCGCCTCAGTTGACTTGGCAATAAATGATCTTCCGTGATTGCTGCGAATTTTACATACATATGAATGTCAATTGGAATCGGAATTTTTGTCGACCCGTTTTCATTTCATGTAATACATTATCGATCGATTAACGACTGAAATAAAGTTACGAAGACACATATCGACCGATCTGCCTGCTTTGAATTACACGAAAGAAGTGATCTTCTTCACAGAACTATCAAGAGTTTATTGTCACTAATATTTACGATACATATAATGATTCAGCGGATCTCTTCTCTTTTTACCAATCTATAATTGCCACGGTGACCAATAGAAGAATTTATAAACTCAACGATATTCGACGCCGATGATACGATACCTTTTGTAGGAAATTGCGTCGCTTTGGGATTTTCGTGCGAGTAATGATAATAATTTGACGAAGATTAGCGTGTTGTACAGTGCATCCATTTAATGCGAATCGTTATCATGAAAATAGACAGATCGAACTTGCTTCTCGCTAAAAAAAGCAGCATTTTATTATCGTTCCGATTTACAGAATGTCAGGATTGATCAAGATTACCGAGGAACTTGTATTTTTCTTAGCTGTCATCGGCGACAGGGAATTCTTCTCGACACTGTTTATCAAGCATTTTTAAGCGCAATGGATAACAGCGAACTTCGAGTCGAGGATGAAACACAGGTATCATATACGTATATCCTTTTCTTTGTTTTTCTAGTCAATAAATTTTGTGATTTTGTTTTACAATCTGTACGTAAGAACCGGTCAGCAATAGAATAAATGTGTACAAATGAATGTGTACATTACATATTCTTTTTAATGGCGCACTATAGACAAAACTGGTGAATATTTTAAAAAATTGCATCGTACTCGTTTTAGCTGTATCTAATCGACGAATCTCATCAATATAATGTATCTAAATAATCCATCTAAACTAGTCACAGACCATCTAGATTATTCACTTAATTGCATGCCAGGTATATAAACGAAAGTCTCGTTGCTAAATTATCCAGAAAATTATGAAACGTTTATACGGTAAACTTCCGCTACTAACAATAAGCATTCCGTACTTCAATGATCTCTCTGGGCATTGAAATTGCAAAAGATAAAGTTAGATGAAATATGCGCGATGCGTTAAAGTATGCAACCAATCGAAATATTTAAATTAACAATAAGCCTCGGTATCGTTACGTTTTACGTTACTACGAAAATTACTATCGACATGTAGTGAAATGTTCGTAATAATAAATAGTTTTGCTAGCTCTGAAACGAACTTTCCACACTGACGAAGAAACAAATTTGATCCTTCTAGAACACCCATAGCAGAAGAGCGAGTATATCCATAAGCAACACAAGTGTTACCGAATCAAATACAAATGAATCTCAAACGAACGTGAATGCGGTGGGAACGGAGAATTCGCCATCGAAAGCGTCATCAACAAGTTCCTCACCCCGAAGAACCGCTACGAATTCCACAAAATCGAATTCTCCCAGTGTGAACGAAAACACGAGAGTTGAAAATAGCAAGGAAATAATTTACAAAATGGATAAAAATGGTATTCAATCGAATGGATCGCCGATGACGAATAAAAAATTATCCAGAAGCAGCGTTTATCCCTCGGGAACAAATCTGACTGCTCGGGACGCTTTTGGTAGGATTCCAACAAATTATTTTTCTTTCTCTTTTTATGTCTTTTGCGATTTTTTCTTTTCACTTCCTAACATTCAGGAAGAAAAAGGGAAGGAACTCTCGATCTAATTTGAATAATCGGGATATGTATATCACACGTATATAGCGTGAGTATTCGTACTGGCACGTTAGCCTTGCAATGGTTGAAATAGGCCTAAGTCAATAAACTACGATCAATATGCATATGAATGTCAGCGTGACACGAATAATGGATATTAATAATGAGACTATAACTTCAGCGGATCCGTAAAAACTCTATAACTATCGAACCATTGTCCAGTCAATACGTGTCTCCCATTATTATCCTCCTTCTTTTTCAGAATGTGAAACTTTTGATAACGATAATGATACCTCCTATTTTATAATGGTACTTTAATGTTCGTACAAGATACATGACTTTATACGTTTCTTTTTCTATATGGACCTTCAAGGTCAATGTGTTTTGCATAGTCCGTCGTATGTACAATCAATTCACTAAAGACATAGTAAAAGAATACAATTTCACGCAACAGGTGCTGAGTAGCCTATTTACATGTATAAGTACGGTCAATAGGAAGCTACTAGGGTAGTTCATAAATTTCTACGTTTTTTAATATGAGTATTGAATACAGAAGAATCTTTGTATTATTCTTTTAGAATGAATATACTCATTTGATTCATATGTACAATATGTCATTACGTAGCTCCTGAATGATGCTTTGAAACCTTTGATGACATATTTTTTAATTCGATTAATTTCTCGTACTCTATCTGATTATTTGTTTAGAAGGGGATATCAACAAATTAGAAATTCGTGTACCTTTACGTCGCTATTGGAAACAGAACTTCAAAGCGATAGAAGCAACGAAGAAAATATAGTATTTTGAGAAAAAATATAGTGCTTTGAAGTTCTGTTCCCAGTAGTGACACTAAAAAACACGAATTTCTAATTTTTTCATATTCCTTCCCAAACAAATAATGAGATACAGTACAATTAAATGTTTATTAAAAGATTCAAGGCATTATTCCTCGGTTACATAATGACATATTATACATATAAATCAAATGAGTATATTCACTCCAAAAGAATAATACGAAGAAATACATTAAAGAAGCGCAACTAATTGACCGCTCTAGTATTAGCGCAGTATGTTTGTTTTATACATCCATAGTCAATTATTTATCGATCTATTCAAAGACTTTGAGTAACTATATTACTTAAAGATGATATTAGTATGATGATTTTAACTTTGGAGTTTGAAGTCTCAAATGAATTCGAACATATTTTTATTCTTCATAGGTCCCAAGCTTACAATACCAGCGACACCGGAACACACTCCGCCGTTACCGGAAACACCAACATTTGCTGAAGATATACCGAGAAATTCTTTATTGCAAAAGGATTCGTCCTCAGAGGGGGAAGTGGATCCCGAAACACTTTACTTCCGGTGTGTTAACTTCTTTTCCAAAATATATTAAACGTATTAATCACATTTTTAAACAGAAAGTACCTATATTTCAAAAATTTTAGTACGTGCAGAGTAGAATGTATTGTACATTGTTCTATCTTTTATTCCGGTACTTTACTGTTTTGATTAATCTAAGAAAAATGAACAACAAATTGTAAAGAATTCCTTGTTCATGTAGATATTAATCACGCATAGTGGGCAAAAATAATCCATAGAGAGTCAGTTCATCAAGAACGTTCGTATAATTAGCCAGTGTGCAATGTTACAAAACCCAGAGCACATAAAAAAAGAACGTTTACATAATTAATTTTCTCATCGCGTGGCCCCTGCCAGCATATTACATATTGCGATTTTATCCCATAATAACTTTACGTCAGTCGTGACTTCTTCCGTTCATGTCTGGTTTAATTTTAGACTCGATTTCGTTATGGTCGTGCTGTTTGCTTTCCTATTAGGTCATCTCGAAAGACACCCTGTAAATTATTCAGTATGTATATTTCCTAAATAAGCCCTATTATTTTTCAATTACATTATCAAATAAATCAGATTTTCAAATAATCTTGAACGACTTTGAAATAACCTTGAAATAATGTCTTGTAACCCTGAGACAATACCGAATGGTAATTGATCTGAAATGAATTTGAAAAGATCTTGGAATGACACTGGCTGACTTTTAAATGTTTTTGAATTGACTTTGAAATAGCTTTGCAATAATCTTGAAATGATCTAGAAAAATTATCCTAAAATTTTAATATATTATGCATTCCCTCTTTTTTTAATTGGTTGTATTCAACGTGTCTCGACACATTTACCGACAATCGCTAGAATGGATCAGTGTTCTGTATGTTTATATTATTAACGGAGCGTGAGTAAACCAGTCGTCATATAAAATCATTATTGATCTGAAGAAGTGGTCAATCAGCCAATTATTATTTGCATTATAACTTATTAAATAATATACAACATCGTATACTATATATTTGCAGAGATGGTCGTAGACGCATTGATATGGTGTTAGTGTACCAGGAGGAGTACACTGGAGTGATGACGGAATTAGAGGCACGTCGAAAAGAACAAAGGCGCGTTTTCCAGCAGAATCTATTAAAAGAGGGCTTGCAGTTGGAACTGGAACCAAAAGAAAACTCCTTCGATGGGAAAACTTACTTCTTGAAGTTGCACATTCCATGGAAGATTAAAGTTCAATACGCTGAAGTGATGAACTTGAAATTACCCACCAAAAGGTTCATTACTATTTCTGTTAAGGCTTGGGTAGGTTCATGAAGTTTCTCAAAATGAAAAGTATACGTGTTCGGTGTTTCTGCTTCTAATTAACATTATAGTATTTAGTAAGTAAATTCAACATAGAATAATCCTTCATTTTATTATTAATTTATGTTATTTTGTTATTAGCAAGGTAACGAAGACGTGAAAGAAAGCCCGAAATTTTGGGAGAAATGGATACAATGGGTAAGAAAGATGCATACTTGGGATACGAAGAAGTATCCGGAAGAGCCTAGCTTTTATGACAGCATTGATTCTGGCGATCGAGAAGAGAAGTACGAATTTAACTGTATAAGACAAAATAAATTAAAAATGTATAAGCTGATTATATTATATATTATCATATGTTATAAGTTAATTATTCGATATTTTTGTTTCTTTTTTTATAGATTCGTAGTAAAGGATAGAGATACAGCTTATACACCTGCACAAAGGTCTTTGATAGTAATGCAAATATTATCGAGGGCACGGTACGACGAAAATCACGAGAAAGCAGGTATTCGTAGACTTTTGGCGGATGGCACTTATCTCGACTGCTTTTCTCTGCACGAGGGCCCGTATAATAGACCTGGATTCAATGGCGAAATTCTCGACAGATATTTACTGTACTTGATATGGGCTAGACCTTCGCAATGGTAATTTCACTAGCACTTTAACTTTTTTTTAAATAAACATTTAATTCTGTATTTTTAGGTACAAAAGGCAGCCCCTCTGGTTGATTAGACGATATTTCGGTGAAAAAGTGGCTCTTTACTTTGCATGGCTAGGATTTTACACAAAATGTTTGTACGCCCCAGCGATTGTTGGCCTTTTGTGCTTTATGTATGGTGTAGGAAGCATGGATGGTCCTGATAATATACCCAGTAAAGAAATATGTGACTATAATGTAGCAGGTATTTTCGTTTCATACAATTTTTATTTTATTTTTTCCGTTCTTCCGCTTTACTAAATAACTTTTCTAGGAAATATTACATTATGCCCTCTCTGCGATAAAGCATGTACTTATCAAAAGCTCGGCGAATCTTGCATATTTTCAAAACTAAGTTACTTGTTCGACAACCCTGCCACTGTCTTCTTTGCCATCTTCATGTCCTTTTGGGGTATGGTATAGACATAATTTAATGTTTTAACGCGTATATCCTATTTTTTTATTCGATCTTTCAGCTACGACATTTCTTGAGTTATGGAAACGAAGGCAAGCTGTAATAATTTGGGAATGGGATCTCCAGAACGTTGAAAGCGACGAAGAACCTCGACCTGAGTTTGAAACTACGGTGAAAACATTTCGAATAAATCCCGTGACCAGAGAAAGAGAGCCTTACCTACCAGTATGGTCTAAGGCTGTACGTTCTTGTGCCACCAGTTCCATAGTATTTTTTATGGTAATTAAAAGAATTCTCGTCACATTCAATCAAATAAATTTGTTTTGTTGATGCTAAATTTTATTGGTAAATTTGTATTCAGATATGTGTAGTTTTGGGTGCTGTTCTGGGAACCATTATTTCTCGAATATCGCTGGTAGCCGTATTTTATGGCGGTGGAGGTCCATTTTTAAAGAAGCACGCGAAAATTTTTACCTCCATGACTGCCGCTTTAATTAATTTAATTATAATCATGATTCTTACACGAGTGTATCATCGTTTAGCGCGATGGATGGTGAACATGGAGAATCCCAGAACGCAGACTGAGTACGAATCCAGTTTCACATTCAAGATATTTCTCTTCGAGTTTGTCAATTTTTATTCATCTCTCATCTATATAGCCTTCTTTAAAGTTGGTAACATTCTATTTGCTGCACGTGTGAAGTGAAACAAATTTATTGAAGAGTGGCGATTTACAGGGTAGGTTTTTTGTTCATCCCGGAGACGCAGACGCACGATCTTCTGAATTCTTTCGTATAAAAACGGACGTGTGCGATCCAGCTGGATGCCTGTCGGAAGTTTGTATACAGCTCGCCATTATAATGGTGGGCAAGCAGTGTTTCAATAATTTTGTCGAGATACTGTCACCAAAACTGTGGAATTGGTGGCGTAAAAGAAACCACGTTGCGGCTACGAAAGATCACGGCAGACCGTATACTTATTGGGAAAAGGATTATCAGTTGCAGGATCCCGGAAGATTAGCGCTCTTTGACGAATATTTGGAAATGAGTAAGTATATTTAAATTAATTTAAAATATAATTGTCAATTATCTTCTTCATGTACTTGTTTTATAGTTTTACAGTACGGATTCGTGACCTTGTTTGTCGCTGCATTCCCATTAGCACCATTATTCGCGTTATTAAACAATATAGCTGAGATACGGCTTGACGCATACAAAATGGTAAGAGAGGCGAGAAGACCATTAGCAGAGAGAGTGGAAGATATAGGAGCTTGGTATGGTATACTGCGTGGAGTAACTTACGTTGCTGTAGTGTCGAACGTACGTATACGTAATAATAAAAGTTCACGATTCAAACTTGCAAATTATATTACAAAGTCTAACAACAATTTGCTTGTATCATACATAGGCGTTCGTCATCGCATACACGTCAGACTTTATCCCCCGTAGCGTTTATGCTATCGTTTACTCTCCCACGGAGGATCTAGTGGGTTATATCGACAGTTCTCTATCGGAATTCAACACATCAGATTATAGAGATGACATGAAAAGCGATATGGATAAAAATCATCCGGTAACTTGTCAGTATAGAGGTTACAGAAATGGACCGGATCATTCAAACGATCCATACGGACTCAGCCCGCAATATTGGCATGTTTTTGCAGCCCGTTTGGCTTTTGTCGTTGTTTTTGAACATATCGTAAGTTTCACTTTACTTTATCTTCTATATGACTAGTTATGACACCACTGTAACCCTCCATACATCTTACCTATAAAATTCACACTTTAAAAAGCTATCAGTAAAATATAAAAATGGAAATTTTAATTAGGTTTTCGCCCTAACTGGCATTATGAGTTACGTGATACCAGCTGTACCTCGTTCTCTGGCGACTCAATTGCAACGAGAGCGTTTATTAGCTCAAGAAGCCAAGTATGAGAAAGGTATAAAGAGCAGAGAAGACGAAGATGATATTTTATCGGTGCTTAGAGAAGCAGGTAGTATTGGAGGAAGAGCTGCAGGCGGTGGTAGAGGTAGCTGGGCAAGGCGTTTCAGCAAATTGAGCGACGGCTTAGATGCCCACGTCGACGTAACTTCCAGGCATAACAGAAACAGTGATGGTTCAACCGTATGGGAAGTGACATGATTTTGAAAAGTGTCGATCATATTTTCTCCTCGAGGAGTACATCTGTACTTAGGAACATTTAAAAAATACCACTCTCATTTGTATCAAAATTATCTAATTCTATCGTTGTGTAAACTATACTTGAGCGAAGTTCTATATAAGTAAATATCGAGATATCAAGTACAAACAAATGAAATGGTAATTGTGATATTTTAGAAAATCGTGTAAAATACGCAAACACGAGTAAATGAGAAACAATCAAACCAACATGTGATGAGATAATATACAAATGCCAAAAGTATATCGACACTTTTTAAAGATTCATCGAAAATTTATTTAATAAATTTTTAACGTTTGATCGCGAGATCAATAACATATGATTTTTAACATAAATACTATCAGTATTAACTTACACAGAATTACCTCTTTTAGAATATTTAAGCCAGATACTCTATTTTCTAAAATTATATTTCATCAAAATAGTTTTAGATCATAATCACCGGTTACCGGTGATAAGCATTTTTAAAGAATTTATAAAACATACTTGTATACTTGTAAACATACTATATAAAAAATCGACATGATCAAATTGAATAGTGTCACGTTTGTGTTTCTACAGTAAAGACGTTACTATCGTTTAGTTGGTAAAATTTCTGAAAACACGGAGAAGTAAAAAAATTCTCTCAAGATCTACACAATATACTCTTTATTGTATATAATTTCAATATTTCATCCTCCGTCTTACGCTTAACATTATTACAATAATTACTATAGAATATATTTATAATAATATACATGTACATATTTACTTCTTTCTTTTTGCTATTGATTCTCGACTTATATGTATAATTCTATGCTTATTGGCCTATGATTCAATCCATACTGCACTTTCTTGCGTCTTCTGCGTCCTTTTTAAAATCTAAAAGTGTATCACAGTTGTGTTGAGGGATAGATAGGGATCTTTTTTGCTTTTTTTTCTTGTTTTAAAGAAAAGGAGACCGTTCGGACAACCGAAATCGATACATAGTCCATTCAGTCAGATCTCCTCGGATCTGATGGACGCATTAACTCAAAATTCATTAGCCATAGTTCCGATAAACGGCTGCGATGAAATGTACCCTACATTCCTAATAGTCTGTAAAAGCGGTATTTATCTTATTTATAAAATGATCTACACACATCGTTTCGAAACATATGCCGTGTGTTATATGTGTCCTAAATGACAAATCATAAAAATATAATTCATGTGAAATTTTTGAAATAGAGAAAGAATCTCCATGTTTCCTTAATTGTTTTTCTTTTATCCTAAATCATTTGTAGATAAAATCATTTGTAGCAATCCGTCCTACAGTAACATATACTCTTGTAATATTATTGCTTTTGTGCTAAAGTTACGTTGATAATTTTTTTTTCTTTTTTAAGGGAATCTCGTAGCAAAAATCTTGTACATTTTTATGCTCTTTGCAGCATAGTACTTTTTCTAATACAATGTATATGTGTATGTGTGTGTATGCGCGCGCGTACACGTGATTCACAAACTTGAGTGTTAGACAAAATGTTTTTATTTAATAAAATTCCTGCTGCTACATTATTGCAGAAATAATTTTGGCTTTCGTTCGCTTATTTTTATCTATGCGTGTATTAGGACTAACATGCGTTATGCTATTATACGAGACCCAGATATGCAAAGTTATCAAAGAAACTCCATTTCGTTTATTTATAAAAATATTCTGTAGATTCGAATAACAGAGGTTGATACACTTCTTTTAATTAGGCGAGCTGTACAAATTTCATTTCTTTGGGTATCTCTCAAGGATAAATAGCTTCAATTGAGTTCATTCAATAGGATATTTAGGATATAAAGCCTTACATTTACTGATTATATATATTCACTTGGTAAAAAAACCTCTAAAAATATACTATATGCGATAAAACATTCTATATTCTCTCGAAAAATAAACTTTTAATAAAAATAGTGTCACACGTATTAAAAAGACAAATCGTAAAAAGGAATGTAACAGCATCTCATCACGTATGGGCCGTGTCGCAAGAAAATTTTCGTTGAATTTCTTTGTCTTGCATTAATGCATTTACCGTCTATATTTCAAGTATCTAGCTAAGAAATCCCGGTAGATACATTAATACAGATAAATTGAATAAATCTTGTGCTCCTACGAAGTTTCCTGTGAAAATGTTACGTAAACAGCATGAACCTTACATTGTCAAACATACCGAACAAGCAAAACATCCGACTCGACTAATCCTTCTGAGTGGACTAAATCTCGATTTCCAAATGATGCGTTTTAATTTAGGTAAGAGGTAGGAAGATGTAACACTTAACTAGATCCAGGAGGAGCATTGAAATTAAACATGGTGGTTGGTGGACGTCCCGGCATCGGTTTTGGTGGTAGCCTTGGAGTTACCGATCCTAAAATAGATTGCAACAAATCGATTGATAAACAATTGGACAAAAGCATTTTAGATGTGACACAAGAATACACAATATGATAAATACACAATTATGATAAATTCTGATATTAATATTTTTACCATTAGGTTGCGTAGGTGGAAGTTTCGTAGGACTGGGCCCATTGAAAGACATGTGTCTTCTTGTATGAACAACATTCGAACATGTGTTCTCCAACGTGGAATTCCGCCTTGCGAGTAGCGCTGAACAGCTCGGATTCAACGTTGTAGGAAGGCGAGGCGGTAACGTCACCGGCGGCAAATCTCTTCGTGGTGGCAATGGTGGTGGAGACGTACCATCCCGTGGAGGAAGTATGGGCGCATTTGGAGCTTGTCTCGCCTGTGATAAATAATATAAATCACACGATATTATAAACTACGAAATTTGAAGAGAAAATAATTCAAATTTTTTTGACAATTTACCTGTTGCGGCGACTCGCTTATGGAACTCTCTCGTTTCCTATGAGATCTTGGTGGCAAAGGGGGCGGAGGTTGACAGGGAGGTACATGGCTAGGAGACGGAGGAGGTGGTATCGCAGCACCAGGACTTCCACCCGACGATGGCATACCGGTCAAGGCTCCCATTACACCAATCGTACCAGAATTAAAGCCAAAGTGACTATTTTGCGATTGATGATGTGGGATAGGCAAATGACCAGGTGATCCTAGTTGCGGGCTGCTACCCGGAGAGCTGATCGAAAGTCCTGACATGCTAAGAGGACCTGGTGAACCTGGAGGTTGAGCTGTACCTGTATTAACAGTAAAGTACATCTACTACCTATCCAAGCATACTATGCAACAAAATAAGAACGATTCTTGTTTCTGTAGAATGAATAAGAATTGTAAAAAGCGACTGATAAGCACATGCTAACATTCAATATTTTGGACTACAAACCTCCTAGTAAAACAGGTGCAAAGACAGTGTGGTCCCCTATGTGAGAAACTGTAATATGTGATGCATGCGGAGGGGTTTCTGGTAATTCTGGCGGCGGGGCCTCCGGTGGAGGATCGTGTAATCTTACACTGGAGGCTACAGCTTGCAATGGAGCTGGTAATTTGCCGCTCAAACTTCTAGCTTTAATGCCCGGCGATTTTAAATTTAAGTCCGGCCATTTACGAGACTATAAGAACAATAACAACTAGTATAAACAGTGTTATTATACGTGTGTTCTATAATTTCCATTCACTTACGACTCTAGGTGGTTGCCTACACCCTCTAGGCTCTACTTCTAGGCTTTTATTGTACAAATAATTGCTTATATCGGCCTCTTTCATATTAGGATCGAATGGTGATAAATTTTCAATGAAATGTCTTATTCTAGGTTCCACTGAAAGACAATAAGGTTGATTTTGGTACTGCTGAATTTCTCCGGTTATCTCCGCCACTTTCCGTCGTTTGCTAAAGTTTATAAGTTCTGGACTTCCTCGCAGATAATCCGGATTCCCTTCTTCAATGTGTAGGATGTTGGTCAGGTACATGCCTACGAAAAGAATATGTATTAGTGAAAATTGATTTAATAATTTAAATCAATAATATTTTATTCTTTATTATTTACCAAAAAATGGTACACAAGGTGGATTAATGGATCGCAATTTTTCTTGATACTTCCGGAAATGACCGTTGTTTAGTTCTCTTGCTTCTTCTAGAGCCTTTTCCAGTCGTGCTGGTATTTGCTGTAAATACAATAAAATATATACTCTGCTTGGTTCAAGTTAATCGATAACATTAAATAACAAAAGAACATACTTGAAATGTAAATTTTAACCTAAAAACGGACGCAGATCCCATTGCGCTAACAATTGCTAATACGCCATTAAAGTTATTAAGATCTTGAAGCACCATCATAATTTCAATTGTTCGTGATACAATTGCAACTCTCTCCTCTAAATTTTCAGCTTCTACTATGGTTTTTTCAAGCCACCGTGTAAACTACAGAGTAAAGAAGTGATTTAATTTGTTAAATTCAAAATATACAAAATAAAAACTAATATAGAACATAATGTAGGTAACTTACGTTTGTTGTGTGCTTTATCATTTTCAGTAAATTTGGTGATGTCTTTTCTTTATCTTTCTTAGTCCATACTGACCCAACTAATTCCGAAGGCTTTACAGTTCTGTACAATTCGAACTCTAGCAGAGTTAATTGCCTCGCTAATTCAATTGGATGTAACTGTAATTATTGGAAAATAATTTACTTGTCTACATAATACAAATAACATATTAGTTACGATTATAATATTACCGTATTATCAGTTTTACATTGTTAATGTATTACCGTTAATATTCCCCATTCTTCTTCAGGAACTTTTAGGTGCCACTCAATAGGTGGTGGAGATCGTTCGAAGCTAAATGTAATAGGTCGTTGTTCTGAAGGTTCGCATTTCCTTTGCACAATTTTTATTACTGAATCCACCCATTTTCTCATTGATTTTCCACTTACTGTGTCTAAAAACAACTGCAATCTTTCCAAAAGATTTCTATCGCGTTCAAAATCATAAAAATGATGATCAACCTAGTGTGGGAAACATTCAAGAAGATATTATGCTCACTTAAAAAATGTAATACAATAATTTAGAGTAAATATATTTAAATTTTACTAACCCAATGTCTTAAAACATTTAAAACTCTAAATTGAACAGGTTGACAAAATTCTTTTCTATATCTTTTCCAATCTTCCCTAGCAGTTGTTTTACAACCAGAAGATTTTTCTTCCTCACCGTAAACTAAAGAAGGATCTGGTATGTCGAATCTTTCGATTAACAATATCAACAGTTCTTGAGGTGAGCAAAAACTCCTACAAAAAAGGAAAGCAATTTATTTGTTAAAGAATTCTTTTTTATACATACACAAATCCCAAAGGTATGAATCCACATACCTATAAGTAGTAAGGAATGTTCGTACAAAAGCTGGATCAGCATATATATGATAAGTTAATCTTTCTACCAATTTAACCAAAGTTGCGCCCTTAATTAATGGAACACCTCCATTTTCTCTCGCTTCCAAAACAATATTTTCTGGGCTATCTTGTTCGGCAAATTTATATAAATGTGGTGGAGGTAACCTTAAGGGATGTTTCCTTTCCTCATCCAAAAGGATACTGTCCAAAGTTCTTTCTAACATACTCTTTGTATTCAACATTACAAGATCCGCCATCCAACTATTTTTATCTTCGACGGATTTGGCAACAAGAATAACATTAGGGTGGTCCCTTGGTGCAATTTCAAAGGCATTTTTTAATTCTACAAAAATAATTACATGTAATCTAGTTATACAATAGAAATATTTAATATTAAGATTATTACTTTTTAAAATTTACCTTCAGTATCCTCTTTGTCGATAATATCAACTTTTCTAATAAAAAATCTTTCTTTTAAACGCAGTTCGCCTTGATGAGGTGGATGACCCACCACACCAACCGCTGCAACCGTAACGCTAACTCTTTTGCCACCACTTGGTTTACAAAGAACTAATAAACCATCGAAAAGAAGAGCCCTTCGTTCCGTTAGCCTCCTTCCATTACTTACTTTCCACAACATATCCTCTATACATAAAAAAATAGCGAAAATATACTTTCATATAACTTATGTAAAAAGTAATAAAATAATAACGTATATTTTTCTCATACCACGTATAAATTCATTACAACATTGTCCGACGTCTCTCTGATCCCAACCATCAACAGTTTTTTGTAATTCATTAGTTTTCTCTAGTGCAGCTTGTCTCCTTGCTCTACTCTGCATTCGCAGACCTGTATCTTTTTTTGGAAGACTCGCCATAGATTGCAATAATTCCATCTGCAGTGGATTTAAAAGACCTTGTACTTGTTCCAATGTTTCACCATCTTCTATATTTGGTGTACGCTTTTGTAATACCTAAATGAAATATTATTAAAACATTATTCAATTGTTAGAATAATGTGTACAATAGTATGTAAATATAAAATGATTTAAAATGTACCTTTATGTAATGGAAGTACAAAAAACAATGCCATATTGGTTGTAATAAAAGTTTTGGCAAATAATATTTGACAGCTTCTTTAAAACCATGACCTGCTGCTCTTAACGCAGCATTAGCTTCAGGCCTTGATAATAAATTTGTTAAAACTTCTCGACTAGCTAGACTATTAATGTCTTTTGCATACCTAATATGAACATTTTCACTTATGATTCAAAAGAAATATATATAATTATACTTATTAAAACCAGTAATTTCTTTTTGCATACTTTATATAAACATCAAATTCTGCTGCTTCTGCCAGTTCTTCAAAACATGACCCAACAGTAGGTGTCTGTTTTTCTTCAGTAATTTCCATTATATCTTCTAAACTACCAAGTAACGTTACAGTAACTTCGTAAATGTCCATAATGTTACTGAAAAGGGTTTCAATCTCAGTTCTATCTTGTGCTAATTTTGCGATTTCTTCCCGAAAAACCTATTTAAAGAGTGGGATAATTTCATTTTTCCTGGATTAACAACTACGTTTCACTGACTAATAAGATATTTCACCTTAATGATCATATGAAGATCACGTAAATAATGACGTTCATCGTGTATGAGATCTCGAACAGATTCTTCATAAGTCTGAGAAACCACTGCACCTAAACCACTTTGTGGACCCTCTGCATAATCATCTTGATAAAATAAGTCCATTAATACCTATTAATAGATCACTAAATTACTCAACATTCATCTCGCGATTATTGATACATTTAGTATACAAACGTAGCACAAATATCATGCTTTTTAAAAATGTTACCATATCTGCACACATTGCAACCCTTATATCTTCACAAGATATCTCTACATGACGTATATTCTTGACATAGTTTCCAGCTAGCTGAAAAGAAAATAGTCTTAAACATTTTCAGGAATTAGTGTTAACGAATAACATATAAAAGAGTTATACAAAACAGAATATTGATAAAAATAAATGATAATAGCTTTTACCAACCTTCAAAATATCTGCTGAAATATATTCCAAGACTCCTACTACAAAAAGACTAACTTGTAAATCAATTTTTTGTTGTAATACTTCCTGTCAATGTAAAAATACAAGATTATAGTATCTGCGAATAAAGATATAAAAATAAGACATAAAATAAATTTAATTTCCTAATTACTTTTTGTAATAGTTGATGAATTTTGTCAACTGGAAGAACTAGTGGTGATTTCTTTTTTCCTTTTTCCAAGGCATCTCTTGCATCTCTAAGTGCCCATCTATCAATGGGAGTAGGAAAAGTACGCCTTACTCTTTCTTCCACATCTTGAGGTGTGTGTGGTGGAGGATGACCACAAAGCATTCCCAACAGCCTTAAGATTAAGCTCTCAACGTAGTCTAAGGCATCTTGTCGTGCTTCAAGACTAGGATGTACTTGCTCTAGTACCTATTTTACAAAAAAACCTCCATTAAACAGAGAAGACTATTATTTAGGGAAAAAAAATGTTTTAGGGAAAAACTGAATGAACGAAATATATGGGATACAAAATGATGAATGATACATTGACAAGGGCAGAGGATATTGTTTACAAACAAAACATCTATTTGATAGTCGATATGAGCTACAATTCTATTTAAGTAAAAGATAATATTCTTGCAGGTATACTGTTTAAGAAGCATAATTGATAATTAGTGATTTAAGAAAAGATTTTTTTATAAAAAAAGATATTTCGTTAGTTATATTCTTGTTATATTATAACTGCTCCTGCTAAAATTCCGCAAACTTTAATATATTTATTGTATGGAACAAGAAGAGTAAGAAAATTAAATTTCTCATCCACATAGATTTATTCTTATAAACAGCGAGGACAAGCAACATAACATTCTGTCATTATTCTATGAATTGTTCAATATATAAAAAAGGTATCCTTTATTCAGATACAAACACAGTTTTCAAGAAAGCTACCGATCATTGTATGATAATACATGATTGTTAATTTCCATGATATTTATTTCACGTCGATTATAACGTATATATTATGAAATATTATTGTTATTTTTGTTATGTTGTTAGAGGGCAACAAACCCAGTTGGAGATGGAAAGGGCATAAAACAGTGGCATATTAGTGACAATGACAATAGAATCGACGAATGTCGATCGGGTTGACATCAATAACATGGGATGACATCAAAATCTCGCGAAAAGCGACCCCAATTCACAAGGGATCATTATAAATTCTATAATAAGTGATTCGAAAAGTATACCTTGCGTAGGGAGTTGACAAACACCCCCTTCCACTTAGCGGCGTTCTCCTCTTTCTGAAAGTCGTAGCCTGACGGCTCGCCCACCACTGACGCCGGCGACGAAAACATCTCTACGTACTGGTACAGGCTATCACGCACCCGACAGAATAACGCGCACTAAAGTCGGTACGGCCAGAATTGATATGTGATTTTTACCACCTCTCAAACTCGGTGGTTTTTCCTAGCGGTGGAAATTAGTTCACGCCTTTTTTCAAAACAGAAACACATTTACAGACTTCCTTCATAATTCTATCATACGACTTTTCTCATATTTCCATCGTACAATCGTGTAAAATGATAGAAAGTAGAAAGAAATTTTCGTTATTGGTTGGGAGTGTCACATCTACAAAATCGTATATACGGTGGCTCATGAAAGTATCCAGACACTCGTAGAAGTATTTTACGAATATATTACGCGTGTTGTGCTTCCACATTTTGGCAATTTCATTAGCACTATCACGTAGACACGATTACCGTGACTATCTTGGTCGAGTTTGTAATTGCTTATATGTATGTCTAAATTACAAGGTATAGTAGTTCATGAAAGCATCCGAACATTTATACAAATCTTTTATGAATATAATATATGTTTTATATTTCCACATTTTGAAATTTCATCAGCACTGTGTCGTGACACGACTATCGCGAATATCGATCAAATTTGAAACGGAATTGAAAACGTACATGAAAAACTACATGATACACCACTGTAGGTATATATTTCGTTGGGATCGCAAAAGTATTGAATCAGTCCATTATATTAATAAATCACAATATTCAATAGGACCATCTTTAATATTTATTAGATGTTTAAAATGGCTGTTCACACTGTATACTTATTTGTTACTAAATATACGTTTGCAGTCAATGTTTTGTAACTTGTATACATATTTTCAGATTGGCTTGAAATTTCACTAATATAATCATGACAATCATGTCTCATAACAATACCAATAAAATTTCAAAAAAATATGTTCTACATAAAACACATAGTATGCAGACAAAAGTTTTCTACGGCAAGTGTTGAAATGCTTTGGCGAGCCACTGTGTGTATCATGTAAGCATCGCGAGAACGGGAGGAAGAAAGCGAAAACGGGACACACATCGGGAGCAAAGTGATCGAGAGCAAATCCCCACCACTCACATATATCAACTCTGGCCGTGTTGACTATATACCTAGAGAATACGCTCCGGAGAGTTGCCGAATTTTCCAAACAGCATTTCGTATCGGAAATCAGAACACAGAAAAAGTTGACAGAGACGTCTGTCTGTCCGCCAGTCCGTTTCTCAGGGCGCAGACATCTCTGTTGGATAAATGCGACAGCTAAGCCACTCGGTGATATCCCCCTGGGATCTGGATGCTTCTTTCACTTATCATAGGAAGCATCTTCCAAGCTAACCCAAGAGTTCCCGAGTTAGACCGTTTCTGCATTTTATACACCGTTTTTAACGCAAATTTTTGTCAGAACCTAGCGCGAGCACCACTACTATCAAAGGATACCATTGCGCGACTCGCATCGATCGATAACTGCGATTGTTACGTCCACTTCGAGAGTCCCGAGTTCGATATATCAAGCTTTGTTAGAGTATCGACCCTCTTTTCGAGATATTTTTGAAATTCGTAATGGCGATTCATGTGTGAAATCTTTGCTATTATGTCGTGTAATAGATAATATATTTGTTTCTCGGTGTTATATTTTGAGAAATATTATAAAAATATTGTTTGTGTTATTTGCAACGATAAAATGGATGACATAGAATAAATATAAGAGATGAATCTCGCTTATAATTGCATCATTTAATAACAGTGACGGACGTTACGAGCATTCGATAAAAGAATTGTTTGATTTAAACATCTCCTTTAGAATGTGAATTTTAAAGTGAATATAAAAAATAGAATATATGAACGAACGATATAATGTAACCTTGCAATCGTTTGTTTTCGTAACCATGTAGAAATCCATTCATGTTCCATGTTCTGCAATACCGATAGTCCAAAAAATTAGAGACAGCGATGGTAAGTAAAATCAGAATATATATGTACTAACGTTGACTAAGATGAGATATAGAATAAAGCTGGTATTCAACGATGCTATCTTGTGTTTCTTGTGTCCTCAGTGTTTCGCGTTTTATGTTTTGGGAGTCACTTGACCTTTTTACCATTTTATTGTCGTTCCCGACGTTACCGATTCAATGTTAGTCCCTCCGTTGATACTATGCTCCAGATACTTAAAGTAATGTCCGCTAGATGACAGCAAGGTAATGATTAACGTACATTCTTTTGAAATTCGACATTTATAATGTTATTGTTATATTTTTATATCTGATGTTATATTTCTAGCATAGATAAAAAACATGTATATATAATGTCGATCAAATGTCAATTATAAAATTAAACTACGTATTTGAAATTGCAAATTGGAGATTTAATTGCGCACGAATTACCACCATACAAATTTCAAGTGATCATAGGTAAACAAATATATAATAATATATGTATATTATATTATATAAATTTATTATCAGAGTATAAGAAAGAATACATTAAGAAATATCTTACAAGAGGATTCATATCAGTTTCCCATTAGGTATAATAAATAAATAGTTGTTCAGCAATTGGAATTTGTATTATTCCTGCGAAATACATAGGAGATGATAATAATTTTTTATGAAACGCCTAATTTGTGATTCGTCAATGGTTTCGCAGACGAATCGATACACGAAATTTCTTTTATGTCAGGGTCATCCTTTTTTGGTTCGATGCACTTTCATGGATAAATAAATTCACGCCAATACATTCTGCATGATTCTGTGGCTTCAACTGTAAATAAATAAGAAACGATATGTTAACGGTATTTTCTTAACAGGCGCTTAATTACTTCAGACGAATGATCAATATTTTTCAGAACTATAGCATCATGTAAGTACTTAATAAACGTCTCGCAAATCGTACATATTTTTAACATTTAACGTATATTTTATTGGATATATTTTCTAACAGGGAAAGAGAAGAAAATCCGAGAAGAGAGAATGAAAAAGATAAGAATAAGAGATTAAAGCTATAAAAATTATATGGTGCTGAAAGAAGGCAAGTAGCATTGTTAGTTAATTTAACCGATTTCTTTTGTCCAATTTTCGCGACCAGTATGAAAAACAACGTACCATTCTGTTATTTCTATTCTACAATGTTATCGAGAATGAAATATCAATGAAAAGGCAACTCAGTCACCGCGAGAAGAGTAGTAAGTATGTACTATTTGGCCGTATTTAAAATACTACAAAGATATCCGGGTCATCGAGTTTATCTCACGAGGCTAGCTACCAATTCTACCGTATACGCAATTTTCTGAATGAAGTACAGAATACTACTATTCGACATTGAAAATATTTTCACGAATCCTACTCGATTTGGTCTGTATATCGTTTAACCGCTTTATCGAGCAATTCACTATGAACGTTATAAAAAATAAAATTGATCATCTCTACAGATCTGGTGATCCTGGGCATGTACGAGATTTCTTGCGTTCCTGGTTTTCACATGTATAGATAAACAACAAACGTAAGTGCTTCCAACTTTGCATACAAAACAGAAATTAATAATTGCTTTACCCACGATGATATTCGACTCTTGTGTGTCCTATTCGTATCATTTTTCACACTAAATTGTACTTTTCTATCGTTGGAAAATTTTACAAGTTTAAGGAAAGTACACGAGTATCGTAGGAAAAGCGTTACTGATATATCTGATTCCTTTATTGATTTAATTTTATGCAGAAAATATTTTGAGAACGTCAAAGGTAGCTTCTCGCCATTGAGATGAAAATGAGACCGAAGCATAGGAAATTCAAGAGTCGCGGCAGCCTGTGAAACTGTGAAAATAACGCGATATAGAGTTTCCCTTGGACTACGCTGTTAAATGGTTCAAAGAAAGAGAGGGTTAAGTAAGATCGAAACGATTTCGCGTGCCAAGAGTATCTCGTCTCGTTAGACGCACTATCGTTGAATTATTTTTGATGCGAATCGGTCTGATTGCGACATATCAACGACAGATAAGATGCCGCGAGTTCGTCTCGGTTCGACAAGGATTTATCTGGACTAACACCACGCTCGTCTTACATCACGTTTCCGATTCTCGTTACATATGCACGCGTTTCGCATTGCGAATTTCGAATGCGCGAACGTGATCTTATCGAGGAAGAAAAAATGAAGCGAAGCAGAGAAAAAGAAGTAGACGGAAAAGCCATGGCGCAGTTCGTTCTACGCGATATCTTTTTTCGAAGATCAAGCCTCGAAGAGTTTCGATCCGTCGATTTTATATACGCGCAGAGCACGTACCGAGTGCGGTATCAAAGACGATAAAATGTGTGAGCGCCTAGCACGAGTTAGTTTTACTTAAATTTCATTGTTAGAAACTTCGAACGATTCTGAAGAGATTTGTGCACTTCATTTCGGGGATAAATCACTGACGTTCATCGAAGACGCCGATCGTAAGCTTTACGACTTACTTTTTAAACGTTGTGCGAGTATCTGTACGTTTCATTTATTATTAAACAAAGGTCGTCAAGATTAGCGAACTCTGTGGAAGTGACTAATCGAGTTGATTAGTAAACTTTTCAAGTGCTTTATCGATACCGTTAATTACGTTAATCCTGCTGTGATTCCTGAATTTTTATATCATAATCTTTTAATAAACAAACAATCTCTTCGCGATCCAAGAACACGTATATTCAATATAGAATCGAGACAAGAAATTATGCATATCGATTACGATTATTTCGTACATTCCTCGAATTCGACAAATTTAAAAAAAGAATTTTTTTTTAGAAAGGTAAACAACTGGGTCGAAGATGACCAAAACAACGCAGCAGGGTTATTGCGTAAATAAATAGAAATCTTACATAATAAACAGAATAATTAGAATCTTGCGTTAGAATAAAAAGAATTCGATTGGTCGAGCCAGCCGCAGTAACATCTTCTATTCCACGAACGTATCGATATTTAACGGCTGTAGAGTTTCTCATATTCGTCAATTGTAATGGTAACTTCAGATTTTACTCAAAAAATTGATCATACGTCTTCAAGTTGAACGAATATGCGATGTCAGTTGCTTACCTAACAACCGGATATGCCGCGTTTCCTTTGTATCCCAATTTCTGCGACAGTCGGAACAGTCTTTGTAGATTCTTCACGTTTATGTCGAAGACCGAACGCTTTTTCCTGTCACTGACGATAAAGCGGAAGATTAGAAAATTTGATAGAAGAGGAGGACAAAAGTTGTAAATTAGAAAATTTGTCATTTACACTACTCACGTCTTGGTTGGTTGCAGTTGACGTCCTCCCCTGATCACGTTCACCAATTTCCCCGTCATTTTCGAGAGCGCCATCAGGGTCTCTAGCTCTGCTCGCCTTTGATCCGATAATCGTTTGTGCCGTCTGTGTGCGTGATACAAAATTTATTGAAAAAAGAGAAAGTCTGCCATGATAGGGTCAATCTTTTTGCGAAGCCTCTTTATCGTTGAAAGTGAGATTTTTTGGTCGCTCCACTATGATCTTAGTAGTTTCGTTAACAAAATTTTTAACTCGAAAAACCTTCGTTTCGACGATTTCTATCGATTCAGAGAGGAAGAGAATTTGCGACGAGTTGGAAATTTCTATTGAAAATTAGACTCTAATCTTCTTCGGTTCAAATGTCTTGTTCAATAAATATCTTTAAAGTGGAATCTATGTTGGAAAGTTGTTGAGAAGCGTGATGAAAGGTTACTCACTCTTTAGTCATCCCTGATATTCCAGCGCTCATTTCTTCCGCCATACCTTTCTCTCCCATTTTCGCAAAATTTAACAGAGTGTCGTAGATATCGACCGTGTTCTCGCGCGCAACTCTGTTGGAAAATAAATAACGATAGGGAAATTATTGCTTTTTCGAAATTAGTACACCACTTTATTCACCAATACTCCCAAACGACAATTTTGAAGCACAAATATCGCGCAAACGCCGTTCAAGTAGGATAAAAATCACTTTGAGAAAGTCTACTTAATCGTACTACAGCTTGGACTTCGTTTCCTAGAAGCTTGAGCTTAGACTTTGTTTTTCAAAATTGTTAATGAAAGATTTGTTATCTTAATCATCGTCAACCCCTTGCTCTGTAGCATCTTGTCACATACGCGTTATAAATTATAATTACGGTACGCTACAGATTAAATTTTTGTAAAAAAGAGAGAAAAGGTTTCAATTATAATTTCAAGTTGCGAAACGCAAATTATTAACTAAGTGGCTAGCGATCGTGCGAGTAAACATTAGAAAAATCGCAAGACAAACAGTCATAGAGGAAAAGAAAAAGACAATAGATTATCAAAAGAATGCTCTTAAAAGATAGTAAAGTATAATACAACATTTACCTGTCATACCCAGGTTGTGCGGATACGATTTCACTGAGACAAAGCGAAGCAAAAAGTGCAACAGCGACTGTGATACAATAGCTGCCGGGAATATTTCTGCTCGCGCTACTATTCATTGTTGGCGTGCAGGTAAAACGAATAAAATGAAAGAAAACGTAGAAAGAAGAAAGATTCGAGAAGAAATTCGAAATTTTCGCGAAATTTTCAATATGTTCCCGCGAAACTTTCTCGTCCAAATTTTACAAGTAGAATCGACCACAGGTCGCCCGAATCGTTCGGTTTTTGCTTGAAACTGTAACGTTACGAGGCTCTGGTGCGCCTATATATCCTCTTGCTCGAGGAACATCTTCCCCCTCTACTTGAAAAGCCATTGACGTGGTTACACCCCCTTTCGTGGTTATCGTTCCTTTCGTACGATAAATCGGTATCGGTAATTGATTTTCAGAAATGTCCCCCCTTTGGTCGGTTTTCAGTGTCCCCTATCGCCGGTGTCAAGCGTCTCAAAAAATAGCCAGCCTTAATACGGTGTCAGTGTACCAGAACACGCTGATGATTTCTTAATTGCCTACACGATAACGAGTGAAAGCCTGAAACTATCTGTTTGCAATTGAAAAACTGCAGCGGTGCTTTCTTTTACCGATAGTCGTATAATTAATCTTTTTAATTAATTGTGCAACAACTGTCAGCCTGTATAGTGTAATCGTGGAATTAGCTACGCTAGAAAATAAATAGAAGAGAATCTCACGACCAGGGAGTATTCGAAATTGTCTAGCAAATCGTCTTTAAATTACTGAAAAATTCAAAATTAATGTCCCAGTGAGAAATCTACGACCGATAAGAACTTGTAAATGTATCGTTGAGTGATATCGATGAATTTTAAGTGATCGGTAATTTCCTATGACCTGTCAGTATTGAAAACCCTAGTTTTTCCTCTCGAAGGTCCTTTAAAATAATAAAACTTCCGATAAATACATAAAAATTCTACGCTTTCTACCGTTCGTCGACTCCAAACTTCGATCACCACACTTTCGATACTCTTCGATACTCAGAAGCGCTTCCTGAAAAGATAAGTAGCCGAAAACTGTTACACGATATTGTACGTTTTGTCTTGTGACTCCTTTTCGACGCAAAAAATAACAGCGTTACTACATTAATTGGGATTGATTACAGTTTCTTTTTACTTATGACGTCTTTGATTCTCGCGTATATCGATGAAACGATAACGAAGAGTGGTGGAATTTTCGATGATAGAAAGTGGCTATTTCGGATACTTTATGTAAGGATAAGCCGATGCGAGTTCATCGATCATAAAATCTCCCCCTTACAGAAGGTCATGTTCATCTTAAGTTTCGGTGATTTCTTCTCTTTATCAACTTGTTATATTTGCTTTGATTTATATTTAGAATTTGGTCGATCTTTGTTCGATCAAGAAAATAGGGCCGGTTAATTAAAATTTTACACGAAAATACGTCGATTTTCTCACCGCTTTATTTAAACGAATATTATTACTTCGCTCGAATATGGAGGATTGCTCGTGTTCAATGAAATGGAAAGGGACGAATGTTTACGTACAGTTACGAAAGTGGAAATGGAAGGAGTTAACGTCGTTGCTTTCATCATAAAATACAATAATATAGTTATCAAGCGGCACGCGACAGAAAGAAAATGCTTACTTGTCTCGATAGTGGCTTTTTTCACGACTTTTCTCCTTCTTTTTTTTGCAACATTTTATGCGACGCAATGATGCGCGTGAAAGTTTCTTCCTTGCAACGCAAGACATACGGAGAATTTCTGACATGAATAAACGTTTCAGTGTAAGTAGATTGCTAGTTTCGTCATTCGCGTTTTACTTCCTATCTCCTTCCACGCGCATGTCAGGAGAATTTTGCATGCTTCGTGCATGAGAGAAGGTTCACAAGGAGAATTGATCATTCTTGGGAAATCGGGGAAACTATTTTTATTTGTTTCTTTTATGTTCGATCTTGTTGCCATACGTGAGGAGGAAATAAGAGACGGCAATAGCACAAGCATAAACCACTTGATTATGAATTCAGAGAAATAGCAAATGCAGAGACTGAAAAGTTGCGAGTAAATTTAAGAATTGTGTTATAACGCAATTTTAACAGCGCAAAGAGAAATGGCATAAGAAATATACTTTTTCAATGAGAAAGGAAAATTGATTCGTTTGCTAGATGTCATTTTAAAAATTTGTACGTATGCGTATTAAATATTACACATACATCGAAGAGAGTGGGGATTCGAGGACGAAGCGAAATTTACAAAAATGAAATTATACAAAAATAAAAAAATGAAATTCGTTGAAATTATAATCTCTCTGTTGGAACAATTTAGATAAATCTAAATAAAAACGAAAATACGATAAAGCATGATCTAATTACCACGTTGTATTTCATCATTCGAATCTAATCGATTCGAGCAATCTATCCGGGGGATTTATCCGATTTACTCGACGGATTTTCCTGTATCATTGGAAAATGCATATATATTCAATATGTTCCACTGATCATCTCAAATCAATACAGCAAATGTCCGGAGTTAACCGAATTACAATTATATTCCAAATTTTAGAATTTTCGATTTTATTTTCGATATAATTTTGTCAATCTAAAATTTGATATCAAATTTGCAGTTTATCACACTGTGGGTGTTTATGTATTTATGTATAAATTTCGAGATGCAGAAACGCACATACTGACAGCCTGACTGAAGATCGTACATAACAGGACTAGAAATATTCAAAGAAAGGATAAGATCAAATTATAATTTATAAAAAGAAAAAGAGGAGAAAAGCTGGCGAACATCAATTGTGAAGTTACGATTGGCAAAAGCCAGCAGAAATTTAAAGAAATTTCTTACGTGGCTTAGAATATGTTGATTTGAGATTTGTAACCGTACGATACGAAAGAAACGGAAGAGAGATAGCGAGTATACTAATTAAACGAACATCGGATCAGATGATCACGACGCGATGTCCTCGACCATTCATCGCACGCGCCAGTCTTGCCAAATGTAACATTGTAAAATGTAATCAAAGTATACGCGCACCGAGCCCAGATAACAAATTATTTCGTACATGTTTCTTCTACAAATGGTCCAGCTGGGCGATAAAAAGTTACGAAATATGAACAAATAAAAGTTATTCAGTTATTACGTCAACGTAAATATTATTGCTCATCGTTGTGCTTCTTGTAGATTATTTGCTGACTTTTTGGAGGTAGTCACGATCGTGTTTTCTAAACCGTGATTATAATTCTTTCAATATTAGACTACTTCTTCTCTTTCATTTCTCGGTATAAGAACCGAATTAAAAACTTTGATAATTTTGACTCGTTAATTTTTCTCGTTAAGACTCATTTATCCTCGTTGTCTTTTTTTCTTTTGTTTTTAAAAATACTCGACTGTTGAACTTTTCCTGTTCAATGCACGCGCGAAGAATACCAAGAAAACAGGAATGAGATTAAAACGAAAATTTCGATTACCTCTCCTTGGATTCTTCCATGATTTCCTTCCGATCTCTATTCCTCGTTATTTCTTCGTACTTCAAACATTTCTTGATATTTCATAAACGATCTCTCTTATTATTTATTCGTATTATTTATGATCCACTATCTTGTTCTCTGATCGTTAGACTGCAGCCATTTGCACGAATTGATATTTCTACGAAGCCAACCACAGAAGTGGCTTGCAACCAGATATTTGTTTCATTTACGTTGTAATTCATTGTAATCGGTACTATAGTTTCAATATTTTATACGCAAATTTATTTCTTTGAAGTTCTCGTTAATGCAGGATCTATTTATTCTTATCCTTCCATTCTCGAGCCACTAAACCCATCACCACCCTCTCGAACCTGCCCAATACACGAAAGTTCTCTTTTCTTGAACTCTTTACTCCCCGCATTCAGCATATAAGCTCTCATTACCCAAATCTCGAAACTTGGAAAGAATCTCAAAGAAAAAAGAAGAGCATTGCACCTCGTTCGACTTCCGAACGCATGTTCGTAGCATTTTATCCACTGGCAACTGCCAAACAGCAAAAGAGACAGAAATAACAGGGACGAGATCAACGAACGCTGATCTACCCCATGGCTCGGGCTGCATCATCCGTCCGGGCAAAAATAGAAGAGAACGCTCGGTGAAAACAAAGTTTCGGGCCAAACATTTGAAAGTGTCGGAGCGATAGCGACGTGGACGTTTTTCGCAATTCAGTCTCCTCCCCTTTGAAGATAGGACGGAGGAGTCGTGCGTCGAACGAAATCGGTCGTCGGTTTTACGTAGCGAGATAACGAAAAGCAACACATTGCCGGGCTAATCAGAAATTCTGTTTGATTGTGCAACTTTGGAGGCCCGTTCCTCGCCAACGTGTAGTACATCAATGACATATACGTATATATAATGTACGCCTTCAAATTTGCTTCATACTTCACTACCACAGCGACGATAGTCGAGGCTCGTTACAGTGCCAATGAAATTTCAAAATGTTTTACGTAACACATGCAATGCGTGCATGAAGATTTTCAGTTATGTAAGAGAGGATTAATACGGCTACCTTCGATGCCTTGCAAGAGAGACTGTTGGACTGTAGGAAACATTTGAAATTTTCATTAACGTTGCAATGAAATTCAAATGTGGTGATAATATCGGTAAAGTTTGAAAGAAATTTGAAGATGTACATAAAAGCTATTGCGTGATATCTAGTGCGAGAGATCGCCAAAGTGTTTGAACAATCAATTAGCCGTCGTATTAACGAATCACGTTATTCATATTCAATATTATATTCGATATTATATGGTTATACAGAGTAGGATCATTCTTAACATTTATTATATGTTTGCTCTTTGCTAATTTCTTATGAAATATATATGTTTGTAATAAATATCTTGTAACTTCTATGTATATTTCCAGACTGGATTCGAATTTTTCCGATATGATCATGCCACTCGCTATCTCGTTATAAGATTCGTACGAAATACGCATAACATATTTACAAAAATTTTCTACGGCACGCGTTCAAATACTTTTCTGAGCTAAAGTGTTTGCTGTACTGCGCAGTAAAACGATGTTGCGAAATCAGCCACCCACGCGATCTGTATGTGCGTATTTATGAAATAATTTCATATCTATCGGGCCAATCACGCTCGCCACGGATGAACTACTGCACGAAGAGCGACCATACGAAGCCAATCAGAACGATGGTCGACAATTGCAATCCAGTGACTTGTCCTACGTTTCGCTTTCCTTTCGCAAAACTTCCGTTTCCGCGAACGTTTGATACGAACGTTTCAGGTCGAGTGC